ATCACGCCGAGCCTGTTTTTGCACCGTCTGGCGTCTGGCGATGACCTCTTCACGGGCGCTGCCAGGGGGGGAGGGGCGGGCGGAAGGGTCGGTAGCCTCCACTTTAGATGGGCCGATCTTCCACCACCGCTACCATAAGTAGGAGAGGGAGGAGAAGGAGAAGGAGGAGAAAGAGGAGGATGAGGAGGAGGAGGAGGAGGAGGAGGAGGACCTCCCCATCCTCCCTTCTCCCCCGTCTTACCTATGGTAGTGGTGGCGGAAAGGTTGCCCATCAATTATGGGTCCAGGAAGGGGCCCTGATTTTCGGGCCGCTCCTCAAGGATCTGGGCCAGGGAACCCGTTTTTGGGCCGAGGCTCGCCGTGGCCAGCCAGAGTCTCCTCCTTCCTTACTCCGCGCGATCCTCGTGGCCGCACGATGGCCCTATCGACAGCGCCTCGGCGCGAGGCAACGCCAGTCCCGTGTGGGGCCCCGAGGCCCAGGACTCGCTTCCCACTTGGCATCGCTCGGACGTGTGCATTTGTTTCTCGGCGACGGCCATCGAGGAGCATCCTTGATCATTCGGCGAAAAAACACGCACGAAATCGAAACATACACAGGAATGGACGTCCGAGCGATGGCGAGCCCAGGGCGCGAGGTAAACGGTGTTCTCGGGGTGTTTCGTGGACCGTTTTCGTTGGGGCCTCGCTGTGCAGCAGAGGGCGGAACGAAGGCAGCGCGAGGGAACAAGAAAACCCAACGAACACGACCAGCACTGTGGAGCTCGGGCCCTGCCGTTGCCTGCAGGACCCCGCCGGGTTCAGACTCTGACCCCCCCGACCGTCGGGAGTGCTTCGCAGCGCGGGCGCCCTGGACCTGGAGGTCTCTCGAGCCGCCCTCCCCCGAGCGGCGTCTCCTCCCGAGCAGTTGCTGGACGGTCCCGCGGGCCGGGGGGGAGGGGCCAAGAGGCCGAAGAGGAAGAACAGCGCCTCTTGTGGTGGGTTCCCCAGGGTGCGAAGGGGGTCTGGGCCTTACGTCCCCATAAGCTCTTGACCCCTTGGCTCCCTGGGTGGAGGTGCTCATCCAATTTGGACGGCTCCCAGGCGACAAGAAACTGGGTGGAGTTGCTCATCCAATTTGCACGGCTCCCAGGCGACAAGAAAAAACACGCCCGGAAGCAGACCATGACTGCACATATTGTTACTCACGAGCACAGTCTCCTTCGGGGGTCCTCGTGGTCCTGGGCAAAAAAAAAACTCCCCCAGGCCCATCCGGGCATGTTCGGACCAGAATCCTGCGGGGAATACCGCCGTGCCGACGAGAAGCCTCCCATGGAGGCCCAGAACGGATGCGAATATCATAGCGAGGCCTCGAGCTCCCCGAGGCCAGAGCTCCAGACGTCGGGCGCTCCGCCGTCTCTCTCCGAGGCGTGAGACCCCTGGACCCCTCGACCCCTTCCCCCGGGGCCGCTGTCTCCTCCCGAGCTATTGTTCCGGGCTGGACCTGCCCGCTGTTCTGCTGGATTTCGGCTGGTGTTTTGTTTTTCGTTTTGGCCTGGACAGTATAGATGGACAATATATTCCAACCCTGACACATTGGAGGGAGATTCTAATTCACCCCCGCGCCCCCGACATCAATGTTGAGCTCAGTGAAGGCGGTGTTTCTGGGTTGGAGTGTTCTTCTGTCCACTCACGCCCCCCCGTCACCACGCCATCAAAATCAATTCCGGCGGGTCTGGGGGGCATCCGGGGCCACAGGGTTCGAATGCAGTGTCCATGCGCGGGAGGCACGAGGTAAAGCAGGTGGAGCAGAACGAAGAACAGCACGGAAACAAGAACGAAAACCGCGTTTTTAGGCCCAGCCCTGCTGCTTGCTCGGCGGCCCCGAGAGGCCCGCCGCCGGCCCCTCGGAGGCGCCCCTCGGAGGCGCCCCGAGAGGCTTGCGAACGAACTCGAATGTGTCAGGGTTCGAATGTATTGTCCATCTACCGTCCCTCGTTCCGAGTGCGGCGTGCCTCGCCGGCGGCCCGCGTATAGGCCGCCGCGCAAGGTGCGGGAGCCTAGAGAGACGGGGGCCGATGCCAGCGGGGGTCGGTCAGAGTGCCAGGTCTTGCAGGAGGGAAAAAACACACAGACACAATGGATCGTCGATTTCCTAGAAAATATGGGAAAATATGGTAAGTGGGGGGGAAGACGAAAATCCCCAAGATATGGAACAATATGGGGACTCCTTTTATTTGTGTGTATTTAGTTGTATGTCCCAGCGCCCATTTAGTCTTGCAGGATCCTGCTGCACAGCCGAGGGCGCACTGACCCGGGTTTAGGTGCAGGGTCCTGCCGGGATCCTGCGGGATCTTGCAGGATCCTGCAAGGCTTGGCTGACCCGGGTCCAGATCGACCCGGGCCAGTAGATCCCCGAAAGGTGGTTATGTCACCTCGCGTGAGAGCCTCTCGTTTTTGTCGCTCAGATGGGTGACGACAGGCCAGCCGCACCATTATTTTCCTCAAGGCGCTCGCTGTCTGGGCTCGAAGCTCGATTCGGGCGGGGCTAGGACAGGTATAACATCAAAACAGAGCGTTTCGGAGCGCTCTCAGAGCGCTCTCAGACTGCTCTGACAAGGCCGCGGCGCCAGATACGCATCCTCCAGAACCGCCAGATCTCACAGATCCCCGATGTATCCCTGCCCGATGTTGTCCCTGTCCTGGCGTCGCCTTGTCGATCCTCGCTGCCGCGTGCCTCTCACGAGCGGCAGACATCCAGGTCCGCGCCCTCGCGGTCTTGATTCTGAGGCGCGATCCCGCGGATGCGCCGTCGAACGGATACGCTCCGCGCTGGGCATCTGCGAAAAGTCGCCCCCCGCATTCGCGGGGGCGCAGCCCAGGGGCCCAGCCCGGGAGGCCGCGGATACGAATACGTATGCGACCACCTTTCGGGTGATAAGGAGGTTCGGGGGGGAGGAAGCAGCGTCTCGCTAGATCGATCTCACTATCGACATCTCACTATCGAAACCGCTTTCCCAGTGGGGGGCCCCCCGTTTCACGGCGACCCCTACCCCAGACCCCCGACGTCGTGATTTTTTCATAGTGTCGACCCCCAGAGGTCTCGACCCACTCCCTGGGATTAAGTCGGGCCTGTCCCTTTTACAAGGGAATTTTCGACGACAGATAAAAAATACTCCCAAAATACCACCAAAAGGTCAAAAAATACACCAGAAATAGTCCCCAGACTATTTTTGGATTATTGTTTGACTATTCTGGCGGGATTTTTTTTTCGTCGAAAGTCCCCCTGTAGGGGGACAGGCCCGACTTAACCCTGGGACCGGTTTTGCCATGCTTAGCCGTTTGCTGACAGCCCCGAGGCCCACAGGACGGGCTCCTGGGTCGGGCGGGGCCAGGACGGGGGCAAAAACCCGTAATCCATTCCAAAGCGCTCCGGAACGCTCTCAGAGCGTTCCGGAGTGCTCTGAGAAGGCCGCGGCGCCCGATACTCGAGCCGGACGAAAGGGGGGGATTGGGAAAGGGGGGGTTACGAAATTTGCTGCATGCAGCTGTTTTCGGCCCCACCGAGGGGCCCATTCCTCGACACATAGCCGCCTCCGGCGCCAGGAGGCGCCGGGAAAATCAGCTACGTGAGCTGATTCTCAAACCCCCCTTTGCTATCCCCCCCTTTCGCCCGACCCGAGATGCACGATTTCCAGAGCGGCCAGATCTCAGAGATTCTCGACGAATCCTCGCCCGAATGTATCCTCGCCCTGGCTTCCTCTTGCCAGGGGCTGGAGGTGGCGGGCAAAAACATGCCCGCCGCGGTGTCTCGCGACTCGGTGGGGGGTCTGAGCCCCTCGCCTCCGACGCGCGCGCCGGTCGTCGAGCGCAGGTATTTGGGGCGTCCCAGGTCCCCGCCTGCTTCAAGCGCCGTCCCACTTCAAGAATCGATGTGCGCTTGCTGTGTCTTGTTATTTCTGGGATGGCCTGGGCCCAATCTATGCGATTCGCCTTCCTGCTCCTAGAGTCGATCTGCTTCAGCCGAGTTCTGTTCCGCCCTCTGGGAGGGCCACGGCGCAATCTACTTTACATTCGCCTTCCTGCTCCGTATTTTTACGTGGGGCGTTCCAAAAAGGGCCTTGCCTTGGAGGATCGAAGGAGTTGGCATCTCTTCCGCGGCGGAAGGCGGCGGAAGGGCGGTGGAAGGTCGGCGGAAGTACAACGAGGCCGCCTCCGCTGGCGGAAGCCGGCGGACGCCAGCAGAAGCTCGGCGAAAGGCGGCGGAAGCAACAGTTGCGCCCCCAAGAGACGAAAACACGCCTCGAGCCCAATCTAGTTGATATTCGCCTTCCTGCTCCTTATTTTTGCTTTACCCACGAGTATCAGGAGGGGAAGAAACACACACAGACACAAGTAATCGTCGACTCCCAGGAAGATCCGGGAACATCTGGGGAGTGTGGGGGCGAAGGGAAACAGAAACAATACATGTGGAGAAACTAGTGGGGAGTCCTGGGATTTGTGTGCACTTCTCTGTGCGCCCCTGGGCCACTTCAGAGCACAGACGTGCGACGTCCTGTTTTTTTCAATACGGGGCCCCTGGATCAAGCAGTGGCGAAGCGTCCTGGCTCGCCTATAGCCCTACCAAACAATGTTCGAATAACCTTTGGTGGTTTCCACGAAATGTTCTTAGAACATTTCTGACGGAGTCTGTCTTGTTTAAACACATCGGTTCTATGGTCTAAGAACATTGTTTTTGTTCTTAGAACATGTGTGGGTTCTAAGAATATTTCGTGGTAGGACTATAGGAATGCCGGGACGGTCGGTCCCTGCTCAACTGGAAGCCCCGACCCTTTCCCCGGGACCTGCTTCTCATCCCGGACCGATTTCTGACGGTCCCGAGGCTCGGCGAGTCCCCCCCAGGCCGAAATTGCCCAAAGACCTCCCGGGGACTCCCGTCCCGATTTTTTTTTAACGCCGCGAGCATGTCTGGGAGTCCGTCTTCCGCCCCTCGACGCCTCGAGGCGGCGCCGGCGCCGCCGGAGGCGCCCGCGCCCGCGGGCGCCGAGGCCGCGGCCGAGGCCGCGGCCGAGGAGCGCCGCAGGGTGGCGCTGGCCTGCCCCGTGTGCCAGCAGCCCTTCGGCGCCGGGGCGGCGGGCGGGGCCGCGGTGTGCAAGAGGCCTGGCGCGCGGGGGCGGTCGGAGGAAGTCTTGCCTCCGCCTCCGCCTCCGCCTCCGCCTCCGCCTCCGCCTCCTCCTCCTGTTCGAGCCCAGATCCAACGTGTTGAGAAAATCAAGACGGACGTTTTTCGTAGTTTTCGGCCGCTAGGGTCGGAGGTTGATAGACCTCCTACCCTGACACGTCGATTAAGGAATCGGCCGCTTTCGGCTCGCGAGAGGGCGTCGCGCCGTCATTTTTGCGGGTCCAGGTCCGTCGGTTTCGGTCCCAGGCCGTTTTCACTAAGGGGAGGTTCACTAAAGGGAGGGTTGTCCACCGCCGAGTTGAGAGCATCAAGACGGACGTTTTTTTCGTAGTTTTCGGCCGCTCGGGGCCCTCACTGGGCCCCGGGCCGTTCAGAAACGGCTCAGGATGAGAAAAGCCGGTCCTGGGGAATGGGAGAAATCACCACATCGGATCTTTAGGCAGGGTCTTGAAGGTTTGGGCTTCTATCGGCGGAGAGCGATGGGGGGAAGTGAGGAGGAGAAGGCCTTCTCAGAAAGCTGGGGAAGTTCCCCGGCCTTCTGGGACATGTTTTCTGAGCCTTGCCCGAAGCCAACACTTTTCAGAAGGCGCGATGACTTCTCAGAAGTCCCGCGGCCTTCTGAGAAAGCCGTCTCCTTCTCACGTCCCCCCGTCGCTCGCTGCCGATTCTGTGCTTTCGAAGGTTTTCGTCGGTTCTCGGCGGTTTTCCAGGATACTCTCCAGCGGCTGCGCCTCGCTGGAAGCGTTCCAGGGGTGCACAGATCGTCCTGAACGGCTGCCAGAGAGCCGAGTTATGACCCGAAAACCAGGGGAGTCAGAGGAGGAAAAGGTACACATACCGCTACCCTTCCCTCGTTGTCTATTTCTTTGGGCCTCCCGGGAGGCTGGCGACGCCACCGCCGATTCGCCTCGAAATCAGGAGAGGTGACGCACAAACACACACAAACAAACACAGACACAAACACAAACACAAACACAACACAACCACAATCACAACCACAACCACAACCACAACCACAAACACAAACACAAACACAAACTCACACACACAAGCACACGCACAAGGACAAGCACAAGCACAAGCACAAGCACAGGCATAGGCACAAACACAAACACGAAAACGTACACGTACACGGACACGAACACGAACACGAACACGAACACACACACAAATACAACCACAAACACAATCACAATCACAAACACAAACACAAATACGAAAACCAACAAACGTAAACACAAGCACAAAAACAAGCACAAACACAAGCACAAACACACAAACACAAAACCACACACACACACACACACGCACACGCACACGCACACGCACACGCACTCGCACGCACTCGCACGCACTCGCACCCACACAGACACACACACACACCCATAGGGGTCGCGCGGGAGGGGGTATTGGTGCGTGGGGTCTCGAACGGGAGCCTCCCCAGGGGTCGGACAACCCGCACCCACCCCCTCCCGCCGACCCTCTTGCGGGCATGGGTGTGTGTTGTTCGTTCGTCAAGACGGGATCGAAGGCTTGGAGGGGTGACGGCCTTGCATCGCTACGTTCCTGTCTTTCGTAGCCACGTCATCATCATCAGAATCATCATCATCATCATCATCATCATCATCATCATCATCATCATCACCACAATCATCATTATCATCGTCGTCGTCATCATCAATTTAATCATCATCATCACCACCACCACTATCACCGTCATTATCAGCATCATTCTTAGCATCATCATCATCATCATCATAATCATCACCATCGTTACCACCATTAGTGTCAGCATCATCTCCATCAGCATCATCACCATCACCATTACCATTAGCATCGCCATCACCATCGTTATCACCATCATTATCCTAATCATCATCCTCATCAGCATAATCGTCCTCATCATCATCGTCCATCACCGTCACCATCATCACCACCATCACCATCATCATCATCATCACCATCATCACCATCATCACCTTCATCATAATCAGCATCATCATCTTGATTATCATATGTAGTATCATCACCATTATAGTTATTATCATCATCACCATCATCATCGTTTCATGGTCCCGCCTTCTTCTTCTTATCATTGTTCTTATTCTCATTCTTCCAATGCGTCCCGGCCCGTCCCCCTCGTCCGCGCGCCTGCACCAGGCCATATTGCGCGAACCCCTTGATTCCTGGCCCCCCCTCTTCGGCACATCCGAGGCATGAAGGGAACCCAGATGGGGGAACGTGGAGCGCTTTTCGCGCGGGCTTGGGCATGGGGAGGGAGAGTCTAGGCCTCCTTGATGGGGTCGGAGTAGATGGGGTCGGGGGATCGCGCCGCATCGCCGATGCACCGCCGATGCGGCTCGACGTGGAGCCCGCTTTGCTTCACGTCGACGTCGCTGACGTCGCCGATGCGTCGCCGGTGCATCCCCCATGCATCGCCGATGCATGGCCGATGCAGCGGCGATGCGGCGCGATCTGGGAGGCCTCTAGAGAGGCCCCTATATAGAGAGGTGGTTCCGGAACATCCCCCCCAGGCAAAGGCGGGGAGAGGGTTGGTTCAGGACCCCTGCCCCCTCCCGCGCAAGGGGGGAAAGGGGGGGTCCTACCGGATGTCGGGCCATTCCCAACCGACTGGTACAATTGCCCATGTCCCATCCGGTCGAAAACATCTGGTACCACTTACAACCAGCCATTTTGGGCCGTACACTTGGATTCTATGTTTGATTACAGATTTGTTAAGACGGCTCAGTAATTCGAATGCATTTCTTAGAGGACGCGTTTGTTCTGGCAGAGAGCGCCACGGTTGGACTTGGTACTAGTTTGTTTTCTGGCTTCTGGGAATGGTCCCTCTTGGAATTTGAGCAGCGGTTGCAAGTCTGTCTGGAGTTTTACGGCTGCCGTGTGAGAACTTGACAGCTTTCGCACGACTGTTGCGTAACGCTTCGCGTCGATTGGCCTTCATTTTAACATTGTGCAACTTCCTTGTGATAGCTTTGGGAAGTCCATCCGCGAGTCGTAGAATATGTAAGAATGGGGTGTGGAACTTCATCAGAACATCTGTCAAATCCTCGTGATAAGCTCATGGAGTGTGGCTGACAGCTCTAGTTGCCAAGTGGAGCCAGAACGCATGCTGCATTTGTGCAGGCTGCTCAAACGAGCTGCTACATAGCATGTGAGAACTCGCGGGTTTGCGTCATGTGGCTGGGGGTGGGTGCAACTTTCTTTTGGTATTTGTCTATGCTTTCCCCTACTGGAATTCCCAAGTGGAGCGGTAGTTTGCAGAGGCCCCTCTTCTTAGAGCGCATTGGATTCATATTGTTGCGTAGGAAGGCTTCAATGATCCAGCGCGGGCGTGTAATCTCAATGCCGGAATTGCCGAGCGAACGCATGCGGTTTGCACACGTTTCGCACAGGAATTGTGAAGGTTTCGTCAGAGACGATGCCACTACATCGGTGGGTGGTTCCACTATCCGAACGAAGGAAGGCACACAACGTGGTAAACACCAGACGAAACGAATGAGCATATATTATGACAAACACGTATCATGTCCAAGCATTCTACAGCGACTGAAGTATCAAAGCATTCTGCGGGTGGCTGGGGCCCAGGTCGGTCCATTTCTCATTGATTCCCGAATGGGAACAGATGAACTATGGAAGTATTCTGCGGGAGGCTTGGGCTAGCATATTTCCTATTGAATTCTCAGTGGAAGACAATCAGATATTCAAGGAATCTGCGGGAAGCTGGTATCAGCGTGTGTCCCATGGAGTTCTCATTAACTAAACGCCAATAGAATATGAGCATATTTCTGCGGGCGGCAAGAGTCAGCGCATATTCAGCTGGATGGACGGACAGAGAAAATAATTGAATTCGGCGGGAGGCTGGGACCAGCGCGTTTCCGTGTGACTGTGTGTTTAAAGGTTGTGCTTTCCTACTTGTCAGATGCAACGAAAAAGAAACAATTGTAGAACTCTGTGTGGGGCTGGGGTCAGTGCGCTTTGGAATCCGACTGGACGACAACAATATGTTTGAGTAGTTTGACGGGAAGCTGGATCTGGCGCGTTTCTGTACCAAGTCCGATTGGGGAGAACATTGCGTATCAAATAGTGTTTAGGGGAGGCTGGGATCAGCATGTGTCCTATTGAATCCCTGTGACGATATGGTATGAAGCACTGTGCAGGAGGCGGGGGTCGGACTCTTTTCAAGTTAATTCTTTCTTGAGAAACAGTTTACAGATTTCAGGCTTGTGAGGGAGGCTGGGATCCGCGAATTTCCGAGTGGATTCCTCAGGAGTCTCCGGGGAATATCTAGGCATCTTGTTTGGGAATTGACATGCATCGTTGGAGAAATCTCGAGAAACGTCACGAAGGCGAAGGTGTCTAAAATGAACCTCTGTGGGGATCTGAAGGATCCTGAGGAATCTTTGAGGATAGTAATGAATCTGGAAGGGAACTCCGAGGACATACCTTCAGGACTCGTTTTTAGGAATCGGGAAGACTCTTCCTGAGAAATCGGTCCAAACCTTTTTGAGGATTATCTGAGGAAGTTTGGAAACATCTCGTAGCAATCCTGAGGACTCCTGCAGAATCTCTGAGAAGTCCAAAGACATCCTAAGGAATCTCTGGAAATTCCAGAGGAATTTTGAGGAATCGCGGAGAATGCAGGGGGGATGTTTGAGGAATGTGTGAGGATTTGTTGGGAACTTTGGAGGAATCTCTCAGGACCCCTGCGGCATCTCTTAGGACACTTGGGGAATCCTTCTTAGGAATCTGTGAGAATCTTTGAGGATTCTCTGAGGGTTCGGGAGGAATTTCTGAGAAATCGGTCGAGGGAGTCCCGAGGGATCTTTGAGGACATTTGAAGAATCTTTGCAGAATCCGATGAAACCTCTTCTCCAGAGAAGCCAGGAGGAATCTCCGAGGAGTCCGTAATGGGTTTCTGAAGGTTCCGGATCAATCTCCAGTAACATGAGAGAAGATTCTCGGAAGATCCGGATGCATCTCCAAGAACCCAGATAAACATATTTCAAATCGTTTGGGTTTGGTGCATGTTTGGATGTCGTTAAGAGGGGAAGGGTTGGAACCCGTTCTGCTCCCACGGCACAAAGGGGGGGTGGTACGAATACTACCCCCCTCTGTGCCCATACTCGCCGCTGGCAAACCAAGACGACGACCTGGGAGTGCTTCCAAGAGGGCTCCTGCATGGTTCGGAGGCCCCCCGCCTTCTTAGTCCCTCGGAGGGCCGCTTCTCTCGCCCCACCCCCTTGCGCGCGCTCTTTGCTTTCGGGCCACGATTCGGGCTGCTTGCGGCCGTCCTGGACGATGCGCGTTCCCCCCTGGAGCGCTCTCGGCGAAGCACAGCTGCTGGCAAGCATCCCCGGGCGAGGCAAGCCTCGGGCAGCCAGCGATAATCGCATGTGGCAGCGCCCTCAGAAGGGGTGGCGTGAGGGGGCTGGGTTCCAAAGAAGGGCCGGGGGCTTCTAGGAAGGCCGGGCTGCTTCGGAGAAGCCTGTCCGGCGCAGGATTCTTGGAAGCATCTGGGGCCTCCTGGGGTTCCCCTTTTGGCCTCCATAGAAGCCCGCTCCGCCTTCTCAGAAGCCCGCCTCTCTCGCGCCATATCCCTGTTGGCGCCGCCACCGCAGGTGCGACCTCGCGTTCCCGCGCGAGCGCGTCGGCAACTTCCAGGACCTCACGATCGAGGCGGCGCGACTCCCGAGCGAGCTCGTTGGCGCGGGCAGCCAGCCCTCCGAGCCGGCCGAGGACGAGGGCGGGATGGGCGAGGGAAGGAGGGAGGGACGGGGGGAGGGGGGGGGAAGAGGACGAGGAGGAGGAGGAGGAGGACGAGGACGAGGACGAGGGGGAGATGGGAAAAGGAGGAGGAGGAAAGGAGAAGGAGGAGGATGAGGAGGAGGAGGAGGAGGAGAGGAGGAGGAGGAGGAGGAGGAAAGGAGGAGGAGGGGGAGGAGGAGGAGGAAAAGGAGGAGGAGGAGGAGGAGGAGGAGGGAGGAGGAGGAGGAGGAGGAGGGACAGGAGGAGGAGAAGGAAGTGGAGGAGAAGAGGCGGAGGATAAGGGGGGGGGTAGGGAAAGGACCGGAGATGGAACGGGGAGGAGGGAGGAGGGGTGAGGGATTGGCGTATGGTCGGAGGGAGGGAGGGAATAGGAGAGGATGAAACTCGGATGAGAGGTGGAGGAGGCTTCAGGGAGGAGGGAGGCAGAACGGATGGATGGAGGGAGGGAAGCCATCGCCATGGACGGAGTTGTCCAAGCGCTGGCGCTTGTCAACCTCCCGGGGCACGCGCGGCCGTTAGGATCGTATTGTAGGCCGAGGCAAACGAAACAAAACAAAGGAGGAGGAGGAGCAAGAAGGAGGAGGAGGAAGAGGAGGAGGAGACGGAAGAGGAGGAGAAGGCGGGGGAGGAGTCGGGCGAGGAGGAAGAGGAGGAGGAGGAGGAGAAGGAGGAGGACGAGAAGGCGGAAGAGAAGGAGGAGGGGGAGGGGGAGGATGAGGAGGAGGAGGAGGAGGAGGAGGTGAGGAGGAGGAAGGAGGAGGAGGAGGAGGAGAGAGGAGAGGAGGGAGGAGGAGGAAGGGAGGAGGAGGAGGAGGAGGAGGAGGAGGAGGAGGAGGAAGAGGGGGGAGGAGGATGGGGGGGAGGAGGAAAAAGAGGAGAGAGAGGAGGAGGAGGAGGAGGAGGAGGAGGAGGAGGAGGAGGAGGAGGGAGGAGAGGAAGGAGGAGGAGGAGGAGGAGGAGGAGGAGGAGAGGAGGAGGAGGAGGAGGAGGCGGAGGGAGGAGGAGGAGGAGGAGGAGGAGGAGGAGGAGGAGGGGAGGAGGAGGAGGAGGAGGGAGAGGAGGAGAGGAGGAGGGGAAAGGGAATCTAGGAATGAGGAAGGAGGGAGAGAGGGAGGGAGGGAGGGAGAGAGGGACTGAAGGGAGGGAGGCAGGGAGTTGATACCTTCACCTGAAGCTGAGGCCATCGCCATGGATGGCGGTGTCCAAGCGCTGGCACTTTTTCAATATCGCGTGGCACGCGGCCGTCAGTATCCTGACTTAGGCCGAGGCAAACGGATAGAAACGAAAGAGGAGGGGGAGGAGGCGGGCGAGGAGGACGAGGAGGAGCACGAGGGGGAGGAGGAGGAGGAGGAGGAGGAGGAGGAGGAGGAGGAGGAGGAGGAGGAGGAGGAGGAGGAGGAGGAGGAGGAGGAGGAGGAGGAGGAGGTGGGGGAGCACCCACACCAATTCTCCGTAGCCATTTTGGCTCATGCCGCTCAGCAGCGAGCGAAAGCCCCTTTGTTCAAGCCGGCATGGTGTTGGTTCCCTCGGCCGGAGAGTTTGGTGGCGAGCGTTGCGCTGTTGATGCTGAAGGCTACGGGCAGGGTTGCCAGTCGGGCGATCATAGGAGGAGTCGTGCGGCGCGTTCCGCCGCCGCGAGGAGAGCAAAGGAGAGTACGGATGCTGCAATTCGGCGCTTGAACCGCCAGCTGGAGGAGGCGCATTCCCTAGTTGTGGCCCTGAACTCTGATATCCCCTCCTTGACTTTCGGCGTGTCGATTTGCGAGGACTTGCGTGCCGAGTTGCAGGCCAGGCTCAAGCTGATTATTCCTGTGCTGGCGGCTGGCCTTTCGGGATCGAAGGTGTCGGGAGTGGCGAGGGCTCGGCGTAACATAGCCTCGCGCGACTTCGAAACTCCTGCCATGACCATCGAGAAGGCTTCGCAGTCTGAGCCGAACGCCATCCAGCGGCGGCCTGGGGGCCATAAGGATATGCTGCTACATGTGGTTGCGGCCAGGGCGCCAGCAATCGCCCCCTTCCCCCACCCCGTCTCCGTGGACGCCGTCACGGAGGAGAGCGGGGAGAGCGAGATGGAGTTGGTGGCAGCCGTTCAGCCTGCGCCCCAGGCTCCTGGTACGCGGTGCACGTGTGGTGCGATCGTTTTTTTTCGTCAGTCGCCGTATCACCACACGCTGAGCGCCGTGCTGGAGGGCCGCCACGTGGAACGGGAACCCCGCGGCTTCTGGCGAAGCCGTTCATGCTCCGAGCCGAAGCGGGGTGTTTTGTGCCGCTGAAGAGGCTCCACGAGCAGATGAGCATTTGGGCCCCTGCGGGGGGCGGCTGCCAGGCTGCTGGGGCCGCGGCGGCCGTGCGGGACATTCGGGCCCCTGCGGGGGATGACTGCCCTGCTGCTGGGGCCGCGGCGGCTGTGCGGGACGTGGAGATCGTGTACATCCACGAGCGTTTTGTGGAGCTGGAGCAGTGGGCGGCCGCTGCATGCTCATCCACAGGGCGTCCGTTTGTTCGGCGACAACGGCGGCTCGGCGATGCCAAGTGCAAAGGGATCCCTGGCATCGGGCCGCCGACCGACGCTTCGTGCAAGCAGCAGTAGCCGTTGTTTCGTGCTGCAGGTATTCGCCTCGTGTCTGTCGCCGAGGTTCCACATTTCTCTGTATTTTGCTGCTGCAATTGAACATGGGAAGCTGAGTGACTCTGCCAATGTACCTGTTGTCGCAATCATAGTGTTCTCCGTGAATGTCGTTTACATTTGTATGTTGGTTTCAGCAATGCTCCGCTGCAGTGTGTCGTCTTTGTTCTCGATTGGACCTTATTATCCATACCTTCGTGCCCTCACTTGATGTGTTGACAAGACGTGCATTCTGCCGTGGAACCCATTCTGAGTCTTCAGAGGTAGCCCTGTCATGCGTTGCCATGCAGTGTAGTTCTTTCGTGGTATTCATTGAATGCACTACGTATGTTGACCGTGTCTCCATACCTTCTCGTGCATGTTGCCCTCAATGCTTTGAGGAAGGCCAACCGTAAAGTGTTGTGTGTTTGACCCTCTGTTTCAGAGGTAGACTTGCTGCAGCAATGTTCTTCTCTGTGAACTCGTGGAATGCCCCTGGCGCCTCGGGGCGTGCGATGATGATGGGGAGCACCCACACCTTCGTCGTCGCGGATTGTTCATGACCTGGACCCCTTCAGAGCCATCGACCCCGTCCCCAGAAGTTGATTCTTGCCCAGGCGTTTTTCTGTTAAGACCCCTTGGGGGTCCGAAGCGGGGACTTCACAGGACAGGCGCAGGAGCCAACAGGAACCGGACAGGGCGAACTGTGCCGCGGCGCATCGCGGCGCCTGCCGAGTCGGCGGGGAGGATTCGAGAGGGCAGGCTGCTCGTTTCGGGGCTTGCACACCCCTGCGGATTCTAGGTCTCCCAGATGGCTTCCGAGTAGATAGGGTCGGCGGGTCGGAACGCATCGCCGTTGCATCGGCAATGCGGCTCGATGCGGGACCCGGTTTTCGCCACGCCGACGGCGGCGTTCAGCCGACCCCATCTGCTCTGACCGCTTTGGAGGCCCCTACGTACTTGGGTGTATCCTTACGGCTGCGCTTCCTGTGCTAGTTGCGCTGCCCTGGCACTCTTCCTTCCCCCGTCTTCTTTGTCCCCACTTCTCTTCTGTGTGCCTGACCCTCAGTTTGCTTCGTTGCGCCCGCCCGCTACCCTACCGTTGATTGGACCCAAATGGCCGCCGAAAGGAATTGCTTACGGGGCTTGCTAAAGGTTTCTCTGGTCCAAAGTGTCCCCAGCTTTCTATTCTTACAGTCTTAGAGTTCATGCGGCGCCAGTGGCCGGTGCTCTGGAAGCTCCTGGGGCCCCTCTGGGCGGTGCTCTGGAAGCTATGTGGATCCCTCTGGCACTCCTCGGGGACACCTTGGGCCAGGGACACCTCGGGCAATGCTCCATTGTGAAAAGCCCCCACCGCTTCGAAACAAACTTCGAACCAAACATCTTGCAAACCCTGGTCCCGTGTAGAAGTCCAAGCCGGGCAGCCAGGGCCAGGGCCGATCTGGATCCCTACTTATTTTGCGTCCCGACGTCACCATGGCGTCGGCGATGCGGCGCGATCGCCCGACCTCACATGTTCTGGCCTGGCCACACTTAGAATTAAGTCTGGCCTGTCCTTCTGCAGGAGGAGTATTCAAAAATCGTAAAAATAGTCAGGGGACGATTGTTTTTAGTATTTTGGGGCATCTTTTGAGCATTTCCGGAATATCCTTCTTCGTTTTCGTCCAAAATCCCCCCGTGGGGGGACAGGCCCGACCTGAATTTATAGAAGGCCTCCGGAGACGCCGCTGGCTTTTCTAATAAGCCCCTCTCCTTCTTGACCAGCCGGCCCCCCCCGCGCCACCCCCTGAGGTGCGCGCCGGCTCTTCGGGCCATGCCTCTCGGGCTGGACGACATGGGGGGATTGGGAAGAGGAGGGTTGCGAAATCTGCTGCATGCAGCTGGTTTCGGCCCCACCGAGGGGCCCATTCCTTGATACATAGCCGCCTCCGGCGCCGGGAGGTGGCGGGAAAATCAGCTACGCGAGCTGATTCTCACCCCCCCCCTTTGCTATCCCCGCTTTTCGCCCGGCCCGAGCCGCTCGGGCCCTCGGCGGCCGTTCGGGACCCTCCCGGCACGCCCCGGAGCGCCCTCGGCGGTGCGCAGCTGCGGGCGGGCATTTCTCGAGGCAGGGAGCACTTCCAGAACGCAGCAGGCCGCCCCTCTCGCGCGCGCGTTTTTTTTTTGTCAGTGTGGCCCCCCTCCCTTTCCCCTCCCCCTGCCACCCCCCCTCCCCCCCCTCCCGCTCCCTCCCTCCTCCCTTCTCCTCCTTCCTTCCTCCTCCTCCTCTCCTCCGCCTCCTCCTCCTCTCCCCCCTCCTCCTCCTCTTCCTCCTTCTTCCTCCTCCTCCTCCTCTCCTCCTCCTCCTCCTCCTCCTCCTCCTCCTCCTCCTCACTCCTCCTCCCCTCCTCCTCCTCTCCTCCCCCTCCTCCTCCTCCTTCCTCCTCCTCCTCCTCCTCCTCCTCCTCCTCCTCCTCCTCCTCCTCCTCCTCCTCCCTCCTCCTCCTCCTCCTCCTCCTCCTCCCTCCCCTCCCCCTCCTCCTCCTCTACAATTACTCAATATGAAAATACTCTCCCTCTTCCCCTGATGGCGTCCGGGTGATGGCCGCGCACCCTCCGCGTACTGTTTTTTACACACAGGATTCCCGGGAAATCCCGGGAAACGACTCTCAGTGAGGCGCTGGCGTCATTTTTTCCCAAAATGCTGCTCTCGTTGAGGCGCCGGCCTCATTTCTGCTCCCGAATCGTTCCGAATCGTGCTCCCGCTGCAGCGTGGGCCTCATTTTCGGATCGGTGCTTGGCCTCCGTCGCTCGTTTGCTGCGCACTGGGCCTATTCGCCCAGCTCGGGGCCTTTCTCGCTCGCCCATCGCCGCCACACCGCGCCGCACCGCCACCACCACCACCACCACCACCACCACCACCACCCCACCACCACCACCGCCACCACCACAACACCAACACCACCACCACCACCACGACCACCACAACCACCACCAGCACCACCACCAGTACCAACACCACCACCACAGCACCACCACCACCACACACACCACCCGCCCCACCACCCCACCATCACCACCACCACCACCACCACAACCACCACCAGCACCAGCACCAAGCACCAAGCACCAACACCACCACCACCAGCACCACCACCACCACACCGCACCACCACCACCACGATCACCACCACCACCACCACACCACCACCACCACTACCACCACCACCACCACCACCACCACCACCACCACCACCACCACCACCACGACAACCACGCACACACGCACGCACGCACACACGTGCACCACCACCCACTACGCACGCGCGCGCGGAACCACAGGTCCGCTACGACACGCGTCCGCGGATAGAGAAAATCAGCGCCATCGTAAGGGGTGGGAGGGAGGGGTAGGACGTCAGATATGACGCGAGCGCACCTAGTTTGCCTCCTCCCCCTCCTCCTCCTCCTCCTCCTCCTCCTTCTCCTCCAATCCTCCTCCCCCTCCTCCTCTTTCGCTCCGAACGGCACCAAACTGCGGCTTCCCTCGGCGACTCGGCACCGTGCGCGGTGCCGCGGCGGCCGAGGAGGAGGAGGAGGGCGGGCTCTTGCAGCGCCTGCCCTTCGTGGGCACCACGGACGCCATCGCCGGCATGCTGGGCCTCCCGCAGTCCAAGGAGGTGGAGGCGCCTGGCCTCGTGTCGGGTATGGCTATTCGTGGACTATTTTTGAATATTCCTCCTGTAGAGGGACGGGTTCGAAACAGCATCGTCCTGGAGTCGCTCTCGGCGGGGTCCACCGTGGCCTCACATGGTCCCGAGAGGCCCACGCGCAGGGCCCAACGATGGCTCCAAGGCGCCTCCAGGAGCGCCCCGAGAGGCCCCCAGCAGGCCCGAGAGAGAGCCACAGGTCGGGTATGTATAGCCAGGACCCCGGGTAAGGGGACCCCGTTAGTGGTAGGGCCCGGGAGCCTTCGAATTGGCCAGAATCACTGAACCAGGTTTGCCATGGCTGGTGTTTTTTCGGGTGACGGCAGTTCCGGTTAGTGGAATTGTGACGGGGGGGCGCCCCTGGTACAGATCATTAAAGCAGGTTCCACTAAACCCAGTTCTACCAACGCCCGATCTTGCGCGAGCGGGAGCGGGAGTGGCGGATGCAGTTGTTCGAGTACCCATCGGTCGTTTAAAAAGTAGCTTTTTGCTGGACTCCCAGATTCCAATCTAGCTACTTTGATCGCCCTCCTACTTCAGTGATCGAGTGGCTTCACCTTTTCCGTCCTCCTCAGGGGGCGGACGGAACCCAATCTATTTTCAACGCCTTCCTACTAAGTACCTATTTCTTCCGACCGATGGGTATGTCAGAGGAGGAAAGGGTACCCATGCCTCTACCCTTCGGCCGTCTTCCCCTTCGTTGGGCCTCCTGGGAGGCCCTCGTCGCCACCGCTGGATTCGCCTCGAAATTCTGGTCAGGACGCACCCTGTCAGGCGATCGCAGACATGGATCAAGGGGGCGTGGGTTAGCGACGGGTCCCGTTTCCATGGGAAGTCGCGGATCTCGGCCGCCGAGCGAGGCGGCACCCGCCGCATTTTGGGAAGGGCCCACGCGCCAAATCCATGGATCGCTAATCCATGTTTGCGCGACCCCCGAACCCTGGCAGAGGTCCCGGGGAGTAGCGGCATCGGTAACCTGGGTCGGAGCAGATGGAGTCGGAGGGTCGCGCCACAGCGCCGCTGCACCTGCGATGCGGCTCGATCTGGAGCTCGAGTTTCTCCACACCGACGCTACCGACGCATCGGTGATGCATCGACGATGCAACGATACACGTTGTTCACTTCTAATTCTTCGAAGGTTCTTTGATTTGTTGGGAGGCCAGGATCCTTTCATTTCTAGTTGCTCTATCCCGGGCTTCTTCCTGGCCGCTATAGGGGGCCAGGAACGATTAGAAACGAACACAATTAGAGATGAGCACGATTGGACATGAATGACGTGCATCCTCCGACCGCGTCGACCCCGACCACATCTGGGAGGCCTCTACAGTCAAGACGCTGAAATAAGGAACCGTTTGGGTTCGGAAGGGGCTCGATGTTCCTTGGGTTCCTCCAGTGTTGTTCCTCTTGCCCTCCTGGGGCACGGAGGCGCTCACAGGGCCAAGAAGGGGCTTCGTTCCTCATTTAGCGTTCCTTCTTTCAGCGGCCCGACTGTCGCCGCCTCCAGGCTCCAACGGGGGCCCGCATCAGCCTGACCAATTGCCAGGGAGGTGTGCTGGTGCCTCCTCGGTGGCACCTGGAGGTAGTGGCTCTGTTGATGACCCAGCGTCGGCTGGGCCACTGGTGGCGCCGACGGAACCCAGATGCCTCCGGGGCCCCAGCGGCTCGCCCGTGGTCTTGGCATCGCTCGGACGTGTGCATTTTTCCTTGGGCGAGGATCATCGAGGAGCATCCTTGATCATCTGGCGAAAAACCACGCACGAAGCTGAAAAAAGCACAGGGAGTGGACGTCCGAGCGATGGCCCGTGGTGGCGTTGTCCAGGGCTTCGTTCCGCGGCCCGACTGCAGTGGCAAGGCCTGTGGTGGCCCAGCGCCCTGCTCCGGGCGCGCAGGACGGGCGCGGGCGAGGTTCTTCGGGGGCGGCAAAGAGGGGGCTGATGACTAGGGAGGGGGGATATCATGGCGGGGGCCATGATATTTCCCCAGATTTCATGGCGCCTCTTCTTATTTCATGATGTCCCTGGCCCCCCCGCTGGGCCGCGCACATGCCGCCGGTCGTGATTTGCACCCCCCCCCCTCTCGGACACCCCCCTCTTGGCCGCTCCCGAGTTCTGGGCTCGCGGAGGGCTTTTTGTTTTGGCAGTTCTCCGCCTGGGCGGAGCCAGTCTTCGGGCTCCCCTGGGACCGTCTTCAAAATCAGGAGGGGGAAACACACAGGCACAATGAACCGTCGATTCTCAGGGAAGTCTGGAAAACACATGGGAAGTGGGGGGAAGACAAAATGCCCAGAACATCTGGGAGAAGGTGGGGAATTATCTTATTTGTGTGGATTTATTTGTGTGCCTCAGGGCCCCTTCAACGAGGAGAAGGATGAGGAGGAGGAGCAGGAAGAACAACAGGAGCACAAGGAGAAGGAGGAGGAAGAGGAGGAGGATGAGGTGGCGTTGGAGCAGGAGGAGAAGCAGGAGGAGGAGGATGAGGAGGAGGAGAAGGAGGAGGAGGAGGAGGAGGAGGAGGAGGAGGAGGAGGATGTGCAGGAGGAGCGGGAGGAGGATTTCTTTTTTTGAGGAAGAGGCGTAGTAGGAGAGGAGGCGGAGGAGGACGAGGAGGACGAGGAGGAGGTGGAGACGATGATGATGATGATGATGATGATGATGATGATGAGGAGGAGGAGGAGGAGGAGGAGGAGAAGAAAGAAGTAGGAGCAGGAGGAGAGGAGGAGGAGATGAGGAGCAGGACGAAGAGGGGGAGGAGGAGAGGAGGAGGAGGAGGAGGAGGAGGAGGAGGAGGAGGAGGAGGAGGGGGAGGAGGAGCGGGAGAGCAAGGGCAAGAGCAAGTTAGTTCACTAAGTGAAAAAGGAAAACCGCGTTACACCAGGGAGGGGGACTTCCCAACGGGCCCCTGTTGGGCCTCCCTCTCGGCTTTGCTGAGGGCCATGGGTTGTAGCCCTAGACGTATGCGCCTTAAATATTCGGCTCCCGTAGGTGTGGCTTTCAAATCGCAGTTCTTGTGTACTTGGAAGCACGCTTGCTGGCATAACTGCCGCAAGTTCCACAGCAGGAGGAGGAACAGTCGGAGGAGCAGGAGGAGGATGAGCAGGAGGAGGAGGAGGAGGAGGAGGAGGAGGAGGAGCCGGAGGAACCGGAGGAGCTGGAGGGGAGGAGGAGGAGGAGGAGGAGGAGGAGGAGGAGGAGGAGGAGGAGGAGGAGGAGAGGAGAGGAGGAGGCGGAGGCGGAGGCGGAGGAGGAGGAGGAGGAGGAGGAGCAAGAGGAGAAGGAGGAGCAAGAGGAGGACGAGACTGAGGAGGACGAGGAGGAGGAGGAGGAGCAGGAGGAGAAGCATGAGGAGGAGGAGGAAGAAGAGCAGGAGGAGTAGGAGGAGAGGGAGGATGAGGAGGGTGAGGAACAGTAGGAGGAGGAGGCGGAGGAGGAGGAGGATGATGTGGAGGATGAGGAGAAGGAGGAGGAGGAGGAGGAGGAGGAGGAGAAGGAGGAGGTTGACGAGGAAGAGAAACTCGAGGACGAGCGGAGGACGGGATTGAGGAAGACAGAGAGGGCGAGAAGGGCCGCGGCGCCCCAGGCGCTCGTGCGCGACGTCGTCCGTGAGGGCGGACCGTTCCGCCCACGGGCTGGCCAGCAGCTGGGCACCTCGACGTTCCAGAGCCCAGTGGTGAGCAGCGGGGTGGTAGGCCCAGGGTGGAAGACGTTTCGGCCTTCGAGGTGCGAGGTGTTCGGAGGGTGGGGGAGAACGGGTAAGAGGAGGAGAAGGAGGAGGAGGAGGAGGAGGTGCAGGAGGAGGAGGAGGAGGAGGAGGAGGAGGAGGAGGAGGAGGAGGAGCAGGACCAGGAGCCGGAGAGGGCGAGGGGGCGGGGAAAGGCAAGAGGAGGAGGAGGAGGAGGAGAGGAGGAGGAGGAGGAGGAGGAGGAGGAGGAGGAGGGTTGTTAGCGACGGAGCGCACACATCGGGGGTAACGCCAGTTGGCTTCGCGTAAGGGTGGCCCTTCGCCGGATTGACCTTCGGTCAGGGTTCACGGAGGCCCCCCACCGCATTGGCCTGCGCGTCTGGATGTGGCCAACCCGCGGCCCACTGAGGCCGCGCACCAGAGGTCGAGTCAGGGGGGGGATCAGGTGTGCGCGTCGCCAAGGAACGGGAGCAGGAGGCTTCAGACTCTGGAGGATCCCTCTCGGGCTGTCGGGGCTCCGCTTGCCGATGCGCTCTCGGGCCTCCCCGGCAGTCGCCGAGCCCGGGGCTGCGCTCCAGCAGCCTGCGCTCGCCGGAGAGCGGGAGCGGGAGCGGCGCCGTGGCCCGAGAGCCAGGGGACACCGCTCGGGGTGCAGGGGCCCAGGGCTCGGGGAGGACGCATCGGCCCATGCATGGCCGATGTGGGGCCCGATAGCAAGGGCGCCGTCGAGGGCGCGAAGTTGTTCGTGCTTCGCGGTTCGGCTCCGATCTCTCATCCTCCTCTTCTCCCCTGGGAGGCGGCGCGAGAGCGCGACGTTACTCGCACTTCGCGCTTCGCGCAGCGCGAAGCGCGAAGGTGGGAGCCCTTGGATAGCACACCCCGCCTGGGAGCGCGCGGAGTCGCTGTCTGGGGGCCCATCGCCCATTCATCGGCGATGTGCAGTCGACCCGCACAGCAGGGATGAGCAGCTTTCCAAGGTTGCCCACTGCATCCTTCCCCCCTTCCCCTTCGGCCCCTCCTCGGCCGCCTTCGCTGGCCGCGCCCCGCTCGCACAGTGTCGGCATGGCTTTCCAGGGCCCTTGCATCCTTGCCCTTGTCATCGTTCGGACGTGTGCATGTTTTCTAGTCGAGGACCCTCGAGGAGCATCTCGGATCATCTTGCGCAACAGAAAACAGGCACGCACGGAACCGAAACGTGCACGGGGAATGGGCGTCGGAGCGATGGCGAGTACCGCGCATCCTTATTATATGGGTTGAACCGATTCAGATCGACGTTCCCCCTCCCCAGCCATTCCCCCCCCTATGGTTAAGTCGGGCATGTCCCTCTACAGGAGGAATGCCCAAGAATGGTAGAAGAATAGCCTGGTGACGATTTTTCGTGCCACCCTTTTTACTATTTTTGCTTTGCTTGGGCCATCTTTGGTATTGCTCCAGAGACCGCCAGTAGGAGGACGTGCCCGACCTGACCTTGCTGTTGACCGTCAGCAGGGGTGGCACAAGGGAGCGGCCTTCCCAGACTCCCTCGCGTCGTCCACAGTAAACAAGTCACGACGGGCAGCGGTTGGACGTGCCTCGGCCTCCAAGGCCCTCACCGGGCCTCAGTCGGCGGCAAGCGATGAGGGGGAAGTGAGGGTGGAGAGGGCCTCCTCGGGTCGGTGTCGCGTCGGCGGCCAGCGAGGAGGGGCAGTTTCGGGCTTGGGGTTCGAGGTTCGAGGTCTTATAGGACGCTTTTTCGTCGGCTCTCGGCGGTGTTCTAGCCTCGGGGTGCTTGCCAAGAGCTGCGCCTCGCCGAGGGCGTTCCGGGGATGCCCGGATCGTCCCGAACGCCCGCCGGAGACCCGCGTTACGACACAAAGCCTATTCGGCGACGCGCTCGGGGGGGGGGAAGTGAGAAGGAGAAGGCCTCCTCAGAGGGTGGCGGGTCTCTGTCAGAAGCCCTCGCGCCTTCTGAGAAGTGTTCTGCGTCTTCGGGGGAGGCCTGCATCCCCCACGAAATCAGACGCAAGTTCCTCCCGCGACGTGGCGGCGCCCCAGGACCGCAACATGTCCATGTTCGCCGCGAAATTGGCGACTGCAAACATAAAACTCGGACCCCGTGGGCCGCGTTTCGCGCGTCGACCTCCATTGAAAACCTGCGTCTGATTTCGAGGGGGGGATGCAGAACACTTCTCAGAGGGCTGGGGGCCGTCCGAGCCTTCTGCGAAGGCCTTCTCCTTATCGCTTCCCCCCCCCGTCTCGCCGCCGACCCAGGCGCTGTCAGGGAACGACCTGGCATGAGCCGTCGGATCGGTCCCGAGGAAGGGGCCCGGACCTGGGGAGGGGCACCCTGCGAACAAGCCCACGGCGCCGGGGGGGGTCCGGGTCCGAGAAGGCGGGGGGCCTCTCGAGCATCGCGGGGGGCTCGGGCCTGAAGAAGACAGAACGCCACAAAGTTCAAGTTTTGTGCGCTCCGCGCAGATTTCTCGGATCCGCGCTGGGCCCCCTCTGGCGTCGCCTCCGGCGCCGCCCCTGGCGCCAGATCCAAGAAGAAATCCGCGCGGAGCGCCAAAACAGTTTACAGTCGACCCGCATAGTAAGGATGGGCAACCTTCCCAAGGGTACCCTTGCATCCTTGCCTCCTCGGTCCGTCCTTGGCCATTTTCGTGGACCGCGCCCCGCTCGGAAAATTTCGAAATGAGTTCCCAAGGCCCTTGCACCCTTACCGCGCATCCTTGCTTGACAGGTTGACTGTACGGGAACGATGGATACAAAGTCCAGCAGCAGTTCTTGTTCCTTCTGGGCAGGGTTCGCTCTCGGCGTCGCCGCGGTCGTTGTCCGTTCGAGACCGCAGCGGTCTTCTTGTCGGTTTTGGGCCACATCCGTTGTTGGGCATCGTGTATACAGGTGGACCGAGGCATTCGGAGGTTGATATACCTCCTATCCTGACACGTCGATCAGTGAGTTGGCCGTTTTCGGTTCGCGAGAGGGCGTCACGGCCGTTCTTTTTGCGGGTCCAGGTCCGTCGGTTTCGGTCCTGGGCCGTTTTCACTAAAGGGCGGTTCACTGAAGGGAGGCTTGTCCACCGCCGAGGTTTGAGATCGAATTCGGTTCGGGGAGGATGCCTTCGTGCTCTTCGTGTGTCTCGGATGTTCGTGTGCACCCCCAGGGGGGGGGTATATCCTTGGTTGTGCTGTGTATGTTGGCCTGCGGAGGGTCTATCATGTTCCAGGAGGAGGTTCCTCTGGCCGAGGTGCGACCGGCCTTTTCCCCGTGCCCATCTCGGGCGTCCGAGTGAGAAGGCCCCTGGCTTTCACGGGCCCCCTGCGCCCCTCGCACCACCCCCCTCGCGCGCGCCGCCGAGGTGACCTTCGCCTACGAGCGCGGCTGGCGCCAGTCGTTCGCGAGCTCGGGCTTCCCTGGCGTCGAGGAGGGGCCCAGGGGCCTCCCCATGAGATCTTGGGCGTCACAGTCAAAGTTTCAGCCTCCAGCACTTCAGTTCCTTTGGTTTGTTTGTTTTTTTCCCGGAAAGGGCTTTGGCCCAGGGTTCTCTTTTACTAGGTAAACCTGTCCCCCGGTGCCTGCTTGAAGGAGGCCGGCGAATTGCCGGCGAATTTTTTCCCTGATAAAAAACGAGGTTGAAGGAGGCCGGCGAATTGCCGGCGAATTAAAATTTGAGGATGTCTCGAGCGAAACGCTTGTTTTTCAGAATTTGTCGAGGATGTCTCGAGCGAAACGATTGTTTTTCAGAATTTGTTTTTTCCACCCCCCAGCACGACACCCCAGCACGACCACACCCCAGCAGGACCCCAGCACGACCACACCCCAGCACGACCAGACCCCAGCACGACCCCACCCCAGCACGACCCCACCCCAGCACGACCATACCCAGCACGACCACACCCCAGCACGACCCGACCCCAGCACGACCCTACCCCAGCAAGACCACACCCCAGCACGACCACACCCCAGCACGACCTCACCACAGCACGACCACACCCCAGCACGACCACGCCAGCACGACCACGCCCCAGCACGACCACGCCCCAGCACGACCACCCCCCAGCACGACCACCCCCCCAGCACGACCACCCCCCAGCACGACCACGCCCCAGCACGACCACGCCCCAGCACGACCACCCCCCAGCACGACCACCCCCCTAGCACGACCACCCCCCAGCACGACCACCCCCAGCACGACCACACCCCAGCACGACCACACCCCAACACGACCAAACTCCAGCACGACCACACCCCAGCACGACCACACCCAGCACGACCACGCCCCAGCACGACCACGCCCCAGCACGACCACGCCCCAACACGACCACCACCCAGCACGACCACCCCCCCAGCACGACCACCCCCCAGCACGACCACCCCCCAGCACGACCACACCCCAGCACGACCACTCCCCAGCACGGCCACACCCCAGCACGACCACACCCCAGCACGACCACGCCCAGTCGCACCCCCGTGGAATGTTTCGTGGCGTGTCTGGTTGAGTGGTTGCCTGTTCGTGGGGTGTCTCGTGGAATGTTTC